GTATAATAATTACATCTGTAAAAAGTTCTTTAAACTTAAAGAATGCAAAATAAAAAGTATATTACTTCATAAGAAAATAAAACACATTTGTACCGAAAATAATCATCTTATTTTGTTTTTTTCTTCATAAGTAATTAATCATTATAATTTTACATATATATGATTATAACTTGTTTTTAAATTGTAATAATATATGAACTATTATTTTTTTTACGCCTAAAAGAAGAAAATTTAAAAAAAAATGTTTAAATGTTTTTCAGTTAATTTTGGATACAATTTGCAATTATTGGATAAAGTGTTTACATGCTGTTAGCATAGCAAGATATAATAATAAGTTTATTTAAAATATATTATTGATATTAATGCTATAGGGCGTTGGCGTGTGGTAAAATTGTATTATATTTTAATAACTTGTTCGTTGGTGTATTTCTTTAGGCTTTCGTGTTCTAAACTAATTCACAATTTAACGTTAAAAAAATAATTCGTAAACTATATTTTAATAATATTTTTAATCCCATAAATATATATAACATTATATCTTATTTCTAAGCGTTCGACGTTTATTGCAATTTTGACTTATTCTTAAAGACGACTCAAGTTGGCAATAATATTTTGAATGGTGGAAACGTGCTGACGAATATATATGTATATCCCCATTTTGTTTGTGACAACTAGGCCGGTCACGTAAAACGAGATTTTAGTGTGAATACTTTCCCTACGGGACAATATATGTTTTGGACTCTACCGTGCTTGCTTTCAAATATGGAGCATTAAAAAAAAAATCGCAACGGTGTGCATGTGTCATAGTACTTAATTCCGTCAAGGATTTCAGTTATATGATTCCACACTGTTGGAATTCGTTTAATCCCTAAGCTATTTCTCAAATCAAATGCAAAAATTTTGGCGTATCAAAAATAAAAATAAATGTTTTTGTATTTTATATTTTTAATAATTATTTACATACTCTTTGTGTACGTACATCTGTATTTTGGGTGATCCATTGTGTTTTTTCGTTAATCCGTGTAATTAATCCAAAAAACCACGATGGATCACAACTACTCCGTGTATATTAATTAATAATTTACCATACATTACAGTGTTATTTCTATATTATTTTCCGTTTAGTTATTGATTTTTTTGGGTAATCATAGAATATCATACTTGCATAAGATCAACGATATTTGAAATTAATCATTATATAATTAAATTGTAGTTGTTGTATTATCTCTAGTGTTTATCTTACTCGTTGTACGATGAAAATGGTTTGTTTTTAATAGACCATATATTGTATAAATTATTATTTTCGTATTCAACAGAATAACGTAAAATATTTACTTAATAATATTATTTACTGGTGACACGAGTTCCTTTTTTAACACATTATATAACGAGTAAACACTTTATATTTCATTTATTTTTTTTACAAAATAGAGCTTCTCAAAATATTAAAAAAAAATTGATTTTTATCAACGGAGCTCAATAATAATATTGTGGTTAAAATATTGTTAATTGTCTATAGTAAGTAAATCTACTATATGTTATATTATTTCAGCAAGTATATTTTCAAGTTTATTATTGTCTCTATTGCTATATTAATGTGCCATGAATTGTCATTGTTTGTATTGTACTATCGTATATTCGTATTTATTATGCATTAGAACCTTTTGATACTCCGCAACTCTTACTGTTAAGAATATAAATTTAATAATCATTATTAACAACAGTTGTTAAAAAGAAAATTGACCATGACCAAAAAGAATGTCCTGGTGGTACAATAATAGAGACGTGAAAGTGAAGCTAATCAGTAGAATAATGTGTAAATAATATACTTATCGATTACCCATCACTAGGTTCCTTATTTTCACTTATAAAATTCGCCGAAAATACGATAGTCCAATTTTTACGCACATTACGCGTTATTTACAGGCTGTATTTTATTTCAAGTTACGATGCATTTACATTTGGTTGTATACAAATTTATTATTATGTATTTAATTTATTATGTTACATTTTTTTTTTAATTATCCACTTATTTATTTTAATCGTCTATCTCTTGAAGTGAGTTTATTTTTTTTTACTATGTCAATGATAAACTTAAAAAAACATTTATGATCATCTTTGTTTTCAAACAACAAGGTCATTGTTTTGCCTAAAGTACGCATAATTCGTTAAACCTAAATCATAGAACGAGGGGAAGAGAAGGGGAGAATCAGGATGACGACCATATGGTGTGTTGTGAAATTCCTGAGCTGCCCACATTTATATTGTACCTGGCGCTATAGCATATAAGCTACTTTCATCCGTTATGTGTGCATTTACATATACAGAAATAAACTTAAATTTCGAAATCACTTTGAGTTCGTTATTATTATAATTAATTTTTGAATTCTGTGATATGCTATTCATCGTTCCTAGTAAAATGTTCGCGTTGCAGTTTTCAACTGTTTGTAGGTACTTCAAAACATATATTAACACTTAAAAAATATCTCCACTTGTATGACGTATTATTTATTCAATATTGTTATGTATGCTTGGTGCGGTAAAAGTGCGAATATCGATTTATAACCAAAGTTTAACCGGTAAGAACAAGGTTCTATCGCTCTTACCTAACGTTTGTACTTTTTTTACTGAATGTAAATTTGATCACAAACTTGTAAAAATCAAATCATTATCAGTATGATATGTATAACTTAATCTATTTATTATTCAAAACATATGGTAAATCTTAATTGTATGCATAGACAGTTATGCAAATAAAGCCATATTAATATTACGCACAGACAATATCGTAACTATAGTCTGAATAATAAAAAAACATAATTATAAAAAAATTTTATTTACAAATAAAATCTTAAAATATATATTTTTAAAACTGTGTTTCTATACAATTGTTAATTAATTTGTTCTGTATTAATTAGTTTTTTCCATAATTGTATTGTTTAAATTTTGTTTCGTTTAAATATAAAAAGACTACTTTATGTACTTTTTAATATATTATTATAATTGCGTATTTTATTATTATATAGAGTTATAGATGTAGATGTCGCTGGTTGTTCCCGTTCAGTGTCCGCGTGGGCTTCGCAGCCTGTTAGTAGAGACCAGTTGTCTTCTGTCTGTAGGTTGTTGTTCGTTTATGGTGGGTCGTTCCTTTTTATTTTACGTTTAATCTGTATAATATGGATTTAGTGTACGGTCAGTGCTCAAAGGACTGTTTTTGTCAGTTTTTAACTTTTTTTTTTTTGTAGGAGTGCATTATTTTTTTATTGTTTTAAAAACGTAAGTGTTGAGCATTTTCTGTGATATTTTGATTAGTTAATACGCATTTAATTGATTTATAATCTAGTTATATTTTCTATTTATAATCTATATTACTATACAAAATAAATATTATACTAATTGTCTGTTCTAATAGATGTTTAATTAACTACATTTATTGGTTTTATTCAAATGTTTACCTTATTTTCTCTCTTATCCAATGGCTTAATTGTTTTAATATTTTTCGGCTTTCTAATCTATGATAAATAATTTTTATTCATCTATAGCCCAGTTTTGTTATATATATTTAATTGTTTGTTTTAATGTACAATTCAGTAATTCTTAAAGTATTGCAATATATTCAGAACCAATTTCAGTTAACATCTGGTTTGGTTTAATGGTAACAAATAACAATATGTTTTTAATACATAAAGGCGGGAAAATAACATGACCCTTCGAATTCTGCCGTTTTTGTCCCCAAAAATACGACCCTTCGTAATGTCCTTAATTCAGGTTCCTTTATCGTATTGATAAATTGTATAGTTAATGTTGACGGATTTTTCAATTGTTTCTTTTATTAAATTAACTGTTTTATTTTTGAATTGTTGAAACCACACAACTAATTATTTTTAGGTATTTAGCAAAATTGTAGTTTTTTATTTTCTAAATTTGTTGTTATGCTTAAATGTTCAATTCAGAATGTCAAACTAGCTATTTATCAATAGTACATAAGTCAATATATTGCATAAAACTGAGTATGTTTTTCAATGTCATTGGTTTTCATTTGTTTGTAAAAACGATTGGCTGTTGTTAGCTGTTCAATACTTCGAGCAGTTAATGTTAATTTCGTACATGCGTGCGGGTGTTAAAGATTATTCTTACGTGATTTCGTGTCAAAACATTCCACTCCGTAATAGGAAAGGAATGCAACAACCTGGAGTAAAACAAACGGAACAACATTATCTTTAAACCCATCATTCATCTTGGCCATACTTGTTTTTTCTAAGAAAAATAATCCAAGTGACAAGTTCAATACCATTGAAATTGAAAAATGTATATATTGATTATATCGTTCGATTTTATGAAGTATTTTTTAAAATTTCCTGTACTAAACATTCTTATTGGTAATTATATATTTTTAGTAAATTTATTCTATGGTATGCACTTGTTAACCACCATGTTTAGTAATATTATGCTTACATAATATTTACTTGGCAACTTTACACAAGTTTCTTTTAAAAATTAAAACTCGCAATTACAGGTTTTGTATTTCTTCTTTAATATTGTGAAATACATAAAAAAAAAAAAAAAACAGAACTATTAAACCGTAACGTTATAGCTCTAACGATGTTGATCTGTGTTTGTTTTCATAAATTACCTACTCAAAGTTTACTATACCTAGCATCCGAACAACTTATCTCTCACAACTTTATCTGTACAGTAGTAAACGTTTCGATACGGAGCGATGCATTGTTAATAATATACTATTATATTGTAATATTGCATTAGTAGAGAGAGTGAGTGTTTTGTTTTCGATGAAAACGGTCGCGCGGGATCGCCCTTGTGCCACTATCGGAGCACATGCTTTTTAACCGCCTATACTGTTTTATGGTGTATACTAATGATAGGCATTGGCGTAGTGCTTTTGGACGATTACGTTTAATAATTACTGCTACTACTACTGTTACGACGCTCTTCTTGTGTTACTTGGCCTCGTATTGTTTATACGTGTATGTACGTTGTAGTTAACGAGCCGAAAACGGATGTGCGTTTGAACGTTTTTGATCGTCGTCTAACGATCCCATCGTCGTCATGTCTGATTTACCGAACAGCTTATGGGCTCATCCGCCGTTGCCGCCCGGTAAACGGATATTAGATCGTTCGACTTCGGAGGACAGGAAATCCACTACCTTCGGGTTCATGCGGAAATTCCCGTCCGTACGTCGCAACGGTGGCAAGAAGGACACCGCCATGGATACCACGTACGAAAGTTTCGACAGTCTATTCGACGACAACGACATCGTGCTGGTCGGGACCGAGTACGTGGACGATTCGGTCCGGAGCAAACGACCGTTCGCGTCGTCCATGTTCAGAAGCCGATCCGACGGCAACCTAGCCGGGTCTCCGTCCATGCACGGCTCGTACCGCGAGCCGGCGGAACCCAAAGGGTTTACCAAGTATTTGAGAGTGCTGAGCGGAAGTTGGAAAAATCTGTTGAACAGTAAGTGGACGATATTAGTAAAAAAAAAAAATTAAAAAAAAATACTGTACGAGAATAGAACAACGGAATGAGTGAGTAAACATCGTCGGTCCTCGCTCCCGGTCAAACGCGTATAATGTGCGCGTGTGTATTATTAACAGTGTAACAAATATTAAAATCAGTTGAATATTTAACGAACGTAATGTCTTATGTTATATTATGTAATGTATATCGGTACACGTACGATATCTAAGTATAATATTATATACCTATGTCGTACGGCGGCACGTACCTATATATTTAAAACGAATGAATTAAAAATACACTTGACAAGACCTGTGACTGAAAACAAAAAAATTATAGTTCGATCATATTATACGAAAAATACAAGCTGTATGTGCATAATAATACATTCGTATTATTGTATTTAGTCGCATGCACCCATTGTCCAAACATAATGTACTCGTGTTTCCGTCTTCTCCGAGTCTCTCCCCTCGTACCGACGACCGCAAGCAATTTAATTGTGATACGGTACAATACTATGTACGCATTATTTTAAACGTACGCGACTTCGGATCATCGGCAATCGATAAAACAACGATGGCGTCGAGTCGTCGTTAAAAAACAAACACGTAACATTACGAGTTAGAAAAATATTCTAAATGTAATATAATATGGAAATGAAAAGTATCGACTGTTATGCTTTAAAATTTGGTTATTAAACATAATTTTGTTATTTTGCTCCTATTTTCCCTCGTATAGTATATTTAATTAAGTACATTAATATTTGTGATTTGTTTTGGTTTTTTCCCCGTTTTTCTTACTATTATAATAATTATAAATATACTTATACTCGTATTTAGAATATATGTGGTTTAATACGTATGATATTTCATACATATATATGAATCGAAAATACACGAAATCGTTATTTTTACGTTTTTCGAAAATTGAACCCTACCTATCTATTATAATTACGATGTACATATATAGCAGCTATTAAATATTACTGATGAAATAATTCCGATTAACGATAATAGTTGATTGACATCATTTAAATTATTTAATAGTTTATCAAAACTTATGGTTTTTAATCTTTTAAATTAATTATAATTATCCTTATGTTATATTAACATTAATAGAACATTCTAGTGATTCTATTGATATTCGTGCTTATTTAAACGCGACTATCAAGAATAGCTGATCAAATTGGGGAACTACCTCTAAATTTTAACCGTGAATATTAGTGATCTAGAACTTAGCCTAATATTCAGAATATAAATAAATAAATATTATTATTATCTAAATACGAAAAAGGGTTTTCATATTTATGTGTTTATTTTTTTTTAATTCAAGTTTATTTTAAGTTCTCAAGTATATTTTCTAGTTTTCAAATATTGACTGTAGCAAACAGTTTATCGGAAATTATGTATTCATTTTTATATCTACGGTAAAAATAATAGTTTAAAAAGATAATTCATTTGCAATGAAATGTTTTCGTAAGAATTCATTAGTGTATTTTAATAATGTATCAATATAATAATAGTGTTGCCATTAAGGTATATAATTAAAAATCTACAATTAATTATTTCAAAAAGTAGTTATTATGATTAGATGTTAATAACGAAGTGTGCATATAATCGTGAATCATATTTGACCGTTACTTTTTGCTGGTACTGATGATAGTACCTAATAACTGATAGTTAATTTACAGTAGGTACTTAACTTATATAAATAATTATAAAATGTATACATCTGCAGGATTATTCTATTAATTTATAAAATATTACATGACTAAGTATATATTTTATTATGATAATATAAAGCATTAAAAGACTATTTAAATTAAATTTGTTAGTTTTATAAGGTTCATACTAAAACAATTTTTAATTTTATGTTATGGTTATAATTTTAACAAGGTTCTCATATAGACTATAACTTCGTATTTATAAAAAAATAAAAAATACTTCGTATTTCACATAAAAACTTGTTGGCTTAAATTATATAAAATAACATATTATTATTAATTCAAATACTAATGGATGTTCATGTGAAGTTTCCGTAAATGTCAGAGTTAAAGAAGTGGCTAATTTTATTGAGCTTCAACTTACTCTACATGTCACCCTCCTTTTTGAAACCAAAATAAACATCTGTTTAGTTTAATGTTATTTACAGGATATTATTTAGTACGGCTATTGGCTGTGAACTTAAGTTTTCAGATCTTGTCTCTTATCATTTATGGTTACCAGAATGTTAAAGTACTTAATATTTTATTTTTAGTTATATTAACGTAATATAACAATGAATCACCCTATGAAAAGTGTTAACCTATGCTGATTTCTTAGTTTATTTTATTAATAAAAGTTTTTTTTCAATATTACGCCTGTAGTTTGAAACAGTTTATTTTTATTGTACATTTAGTATATTACAGTTTAATGTACTTCATTATAAAAAAATGTATCGGCAGAAATATTATTATTATATTACTTCCAACAGATGTTTCTTTTTTTTTTTCAAATATGCAACACCTACATCTTAGTTATATTCGCAACCACGCATATTTCCAATTTAAGAAAACAGGTTTTGTATATAGTATAGTTGCAATCTGCATGTATTCAAATCTATTCTGAAAATCAAATCAAGGGCATTACACATATTCTTTAAAGTGTTATTTTCAAAAATATAGATTTATCCATTTATCTTAATTATACATTTCAACCAATTTATTACTTTTATAGAATTTATAAATTATATTTACGATTATTTTCAAAAATAAAATGGCTTTATAAATATAAATACTTCCAGTGGACTTAAGTTGATAGTGTTGAACATATGTATGTTTTTATTTCTATCAAATTAGATACTGTTTATATTTACATCGTATACAATGTGTTTAATCGTACAAATATTTACTTGAACTTATGGACTTGTTTTATTTTAAGTAAAATTAATTAGTATAAGTGTAGGTAACAAAAAAATGAATATCTATCAAAGTATTTAAATTTATTGTATGTAATAAATATCAAAATTATAGTTTTTTTTTTAGAAAAATTAATAGTAATGAACAAAATTATTATTTTTATATGGTGAAATCATTGTATTGTATATTCATATAAATAAACTGAGGTTGTTCCGCATGTGGATAGTGATTTTTTACATCCTTCAACTACCCTCCCAAAAGCTTTTGACTCCCTTCTACAAGGCTCTACATGTCGACAACACTAACCCCCTGACAGACGCTTGAGTTTCAAATAAGTAGTAGTTAGCTTTTGTAAAATCTGAGCCATTGTGTAATAGAATGCTGAACCTTTTTAAAATCTTTTATGACTATATGTTTGTGTGAAATACATCATTATAAAACATATATTACTATAAAATGTTTTATATAATTCTAAACTTATATGATATTTCAGTTAGCAGTATGAATAAAACCCAGAAGAATGTTCCTCAAGTCAAGAAAGTCCCTCCGCCAGCCATTCCAGATTCAATTGCATGCCGACATTCAGGCAGTAGTTTCGGATCTACTGGATATAGTAGTTCTAGTGATGATGCATTTCTTGATCCAAATACTTGTATCAAACCAGGTAAAATTATTCTAAATTTATTATTATTTTTATTTCTAGAATAATAGAATTATTGAAGCACTATTATTGATGGATAAAAATATTATAGATTAATAAAATATAGCTTAATATTTTACATTTTTGTAAGCTAATTGATGTAACTCATTTTACATTGTATTTATTTGTTTTAATGTTTGTAGTATACCTATATTTTACTTTCAACTGTTCATGTATTAAATCCTACTTAAGTTTTAAATTCAAATTAAATTAAAAACTGTTTAACTATTCAATTTTAATTATAAATTTAAATCCTTCAAAATTGAATACCTTTAAAATTATATTTAGGCATCAAAACCTAACAAAAAAATAAATACTGGAATAATCTTTGAACATAATTGTATTTGAAAAAAAGTTTAATATATTTCACTTAGTATTATGGTAATATAAAATATATACTTACATTTTAAGGATTAGCTCTCTTTTGATTCCATAAGTTACATTATTTAATATTATTATTTATTCTATTTTAATGTTTATGAAAATAATTTTGAAAATTTAGATATTTATGATGCAACAGATACTTACTGCCCTATTGGAAATAAATCGCCATCATCACAATTTAATCATCCTGCTTTTATATTCCCTGGTTCAACTTCGGTAAATAAAATTAACAATTTTTATCCTGAATTATCATTTATTTATTTATTTATTATTTTGTTTAGTATCATCATTCCGGTGGAAATATGAAAATGTATTACCACCAACTTTCACTTCAGGAAGATCAAGGAATTGATATGACCCAAAGTCCTGGTCGTGATAGTCCTGGTTCTTCTGGTTCTGGTTCTGGATCTCGTCACTCAACAGCTAGTTTAGATAGTGGTCGCGCTTCAGGGTGTCATCTTAGAGGAAACTCTCATTGGCCTCCAGAACTTAGTCCATCTACTAGAGTCGAAAGACTTCTCAATCAAGGAGTTCCTGTTAGTTTATTTGATATTTACATACATAATTTTTAATGACTTCTTCATATTTATATTGCATTTTATTAAATTTATTCACAGGATAAAGATATAATGTATAGCTGGTTAGTTGATCTTCATTTAGAAGAGTATTTACCATTGTTTTTATCAGCTGGATATGATATGAGAACAGTTTCGAAAATGACACCAGAAGTAAGTTATTATATATTGATTAAAAATTAGTCATTAATAATTACTTATTAACATCTGTTAAAACTAAATAAATAAACCTATAAATCTGTAAATATCTATACTATCAAACACGAAAATTCTTTTTTCTAAACTATATTGATAGTATAACAAAATAATTATTTTATTAGCTATTATTAAACCTAAATCCATAAATAAAATTTGAAGTTTATTTTTTATAAATTGTCTAAATGCAGGTGAATATGTGACACAACACCTTCCAATAACTATATAAAGTTGCAAATTAAAATGTAAAATATACTGATTGGTTGATGCATCTTTTAATTTTTTTTTTTTTACTTCTGAATGGTTCGAACTCATAATATATTTTATACAAAAAAAATTCTATATTTAATCTACCTCTATTATTTAATTGATTCAGAATTAGAATAAAAATGGTAAACATAAATATTTAACTTTTGACAACAATTTTATATTATAAATAAATGAAATTATGTATAATTGAATGTGTATTCAAAATTAATTTTATAACTTATAAATAACTGGTTTTAATTTTTTTTTTTTTTAATCAATTATGTTTTCAATATTTAATTAAATAAATGGTTGTAAAAGTTTAGGATGACTCATGTTATTTAATTATGGGAATAATAAATTTTCATTTAATAGAAATAATTTATATTTTAATAGTATTATTTAATCATCATTTGAATTAAGTATTTAAAATTGTTCATTAGGTCTAGTTGACTAATATTATTTTAATTATTTAAAGGTTTAGATTGGTATAAAAAAAATCTGTAAAACAATAACTAAGCATAAAATAATCTTAAAACCCGACTAATAATTAAAAGGTTAAATTACTATTATCTATTGACTATTTTTTATAAAATATAGTAACACAATTAGTATCTAGTTTACATGTTTATACATATATTTTGTTGATAAATTAATAACCCAATTAAATACTTAAGATAATTGAAGCATTCATTTATTTTATATATTTAAAATGATATTATTTACTAAAAATACTTATTTTAAAAAAAATATATATATGTTAGAAAATAAAACTTTTGAACTGTCATTTTTTATTAATAAACTTTATAGTACAACTCGTGATTAATCATTAATTTATTGTTTATAACTAATATTACTTGTGTTTATAGGATTTAACAGCTATTGGTGTTAAAAAACCAAATCATAGGAAAAAATTAAAAGCAGAAATTGGCTTATTAAATATATCTGATGGGCTGTTGGATTATATTCCTGTAAGTAGTTTATTTTACATACCTATTATATTTTATCAATAATATTGTAAATGTATGTTCTTAGGGATCATTGGATGAATGGCTTAGATTACTACGACTTGAAGAATATGGATCAGCATTAGAAGCTCAGGGATATTCTACAATAGATGATGTAACTCAGTTAACTTGGGAAGATTTAGAAGATATTGGAATAGTTAAACTAGGACATCAAAAACGTTTAATACTAGCAATCAAACGAGTTAAAGATATCAAAGCTGGCAAATCATTTGTACCTCATTCTCCTTATATTATTCAAACTCAAGTGAGTACAAGATATATATTTATGAAGTGTTAAAATCAATTTGGAAAAAGTCACATTTTTTAAATAATAATATATTTATATTGATATTTAGAAGTATTTTTTTTTTATTTTGGTTTAAAAATGTTTTTCATGTTATCTTATAGTATTTTTTAATTTAGCAGTTAGCTAAATGTATTCAAATTATTTTTATTTTATTAAAGAAGTAAATTAAAATACTTTAAATTTTTCTAACTAAAACACTATTTTATCATATTTCCTCTAATTATATGAAATATTACGCACAATGCAAATTCATTTACAGTTGATGTCTTGGTATTTGATGATATTTTATTTATTTTAACTAAAAAAATATTTTTAATAAAGTATAATTCCTCTTAATTTTTTTTTTATTAAAAAAAACTGATATTGTGATTTGTCTTGTATAAAATGTCATAAACATACTGCATTGCATTTACCCTTTTTTGTTTTAAATTACCCTTCAATTTTTCCCTTGTTTTTATATCATTTTTAGTGGCCAAACTTTTTAATTTTATTTATATAGTAAACAGTGTGGCACTATGAGTTATGAAAATAGGGATTGTAAGTACTACAAATTATTGCTCGTTTCTTTGAATTTTTTGTCTTGTAAATGCATGGTGTGTTCAATTGTATGTTTACTTCATTTTTCATGCCTAATTTTTATTTTTGTAATGCTTTTAATTTGCATTCACTCTTTTATTTAAACCATATATTGCATCCAAAAGGCCTGCATCGAGTCGCCATTAAGCATTGTAAGCAGCAGTTCTGGATGTGGAACAAGTATTACAAACATAAGTTCCGGTACTGGCAGCGTTGAACTTGATTTGCCACGTGTGCACGCCACATATCACAGCTTTCATCAACCTTGGGAATTAGAGAGTAGCAAACAACTTTACTGTCAAACAGATATTGTCCCCATCAAGGTATACATCTATTTTATAAATTATATTTTGCTATCATGTCTTGTTGCTTTTTATCAACTTCTGAGCTTTTGTTAATTTATCAAGTCCCTCAGACCTTCTCCGGATTCGAACTGGACACTCGAATTTCAGGAATCGGTAAAAAAAATTATCATTTTCCCATCTTGAATTTATTTATAAATTTACAATTTAAGTTAATATTTTTTAAAATAATGTGACTCATTATTTTAGCTTAGAGGAACACACCGTGGTAAATCTCTGGAAAGTTTACATGAAAATACTTCGACTAATGGAGGAACTAGTAGTTTTGTTGGTCCTCCTCAATGGAGACATCAGCAAAAAAGTTTTGAAGATGGTGATTTAACACCCACAAATGAAACGACTATTCTTCATGAATGTGGTGGTACATTACCAAGACCTAGAGGATTAGTTAAGCCAAGACTAGTGGCTAAGATTCCCGCTTTACTTTCTCAGCCAAATGTGTAAGATCACATAAAAAACTAAAAAAAAAAAAAACATAACTTTAATAACTTTTTATTTTTTAATTTTAAAAAATGTTTTATGTGTTGTGTTTTTCCAATTTATAGAGAAGACTGTTCAGGATTAAATACATTAAAACGTAGACCACCATCACCACCCAAACGTCAACAGTCTTGTGAAGATAATTTAAAATGTCATCAAATAACTGTTGTTGCTGATCTACATTGTATTCCAGCATTACAATCTAAATCTTTAAGCAAATGGACAACAGATAATATGTCTACTAAACATAACTTAGAGGATCATATTGGTTCAAATGCAAGTTTTAAAGTAAATTACTTTTTATTTCAAATCATACATTACATAGTTATTGATTCACTAAATAGTCGTGTAAAATTAATTAAATATATTTATAGTCAAATTCAAGTACTGAATCAGATACTATTCCATTTGCTAATGAAAATGCTGGTACTATTAAACAGAGAACCATCAGATCTACTAATGGTCAGTTATATGTTAATTTAATTTGGTTTTTTTATTCAAGTATTAACAATGAACTTATATATTTTTAATTGTATACAATTTTAGAACTAATTCAACCCATGTCTGCTGAAGGATCTCATTCTATGCATACAACTACAAGTTATTCAATGCACTCGACAACTAGTCAGTTTTCTCTTATGCCTCCCAGGTAAGAAAATATTTATTAGTTAAATTAAATATATTCGTTATGTGTAAATAGCCATTTTTTTTATTAATACAGTGGAAAGAAAGAACCAGCAGATGTTCTTAATGACATTGGAAATATGCTGGCCAATTTAACTGATGAATTAGATGCCATGTTAGAAGAAGAAAAAAGACAAGGTCTCAATGATTAGATAAATTAATTATTTGTAGGGATAATGTTGATTTTATTTACTCCTAATTGTCAACCATTGTTTTTTTTTTCATTTAAACGAAAAAAGAGATAACTTTTATGTTCCTTTTTTGTTTCTGTGAATTTTAAAATTCAAAACAAGCATATTTTATATTCTTATTTGTTTCTTATTAAATCTGTAAATGTATCTATTTAACTATGAAATAGAAAACACCAATATTAATTATATACACTCTTGCCCTTAAATTAGTTTTAGATTTAAGCCTATCTAACTCACCTTTAAATATTGTTATCTGTTTGATTTTAAAAGGCTTTTGAAATTTGAATAGGTATTGAATTTTATAAAAATTTTATGCAACTAAAATATTATGTTTTTTACTAATATAGTGTAGACATATCACCTTGAACGTCTTCCTGTTTTATAATTTTAATAAATCTAAAATTTATCTTGTTTTTATGATTTCTAAAACTTTACCGAAGTTATATAAAAATATTATAGTAGGTTTCTAACTTATTGTTTATAAGTAGATACTTTGAAAAGATTTTTGAATAATTGTATTCAGCATTATTTTAAAATTAAATATTGTATAAACTACTTTTGAGACAAAATATTTGACTGATTAGAGACAGGTGCAGAGTTATTAATTTTGAAACCATAAAGATTTTTATTATTTAAATAATATTATCTTACACCCATGGATAATATTTAAGTTAATATTAATACAAATATAAGTCATTTGATCATACTTTGACGAGCTATTTATTTATAATTATGAAAAAGTTATTATTAATTTTTATTATTAAATTTGAGTGAAATGTTTCGCCTAATGTGAATTTGATTTTAAATTTCTTTATGGGCATTTTCATTCCTTTGGAATTAAAGTAATAATTTTTGTATTGTATCTAAATTTAAAAATGCAGCTATTAGCTCTTATTAAAATACACTGAAAAAAGTAATGTCCAGTGCACACGGACATTTTTGAGTTTGTAAGATGTTATTTAATGATTAAATAATATTTAGAATCTAAACATTTGTATATTATGGCAGTAGGTTTATAATATAAACTGAAAATAACAATTTTATTATATTTATATACTGGTAGATTTTTATACCACAATTTATTATGTATATTAATAAACAATCTTGAATAATATTTTTTGTATTTATTTTTTGTAACTTATGATGTATAGTTTTGTTGGAGTTGAAATAATATTAAAAGGAAGCAAAATATTTTATTATTATCACTTGACATTTTAAATAAAATGTGTTTATGTATCATACAGTGGAGTCAGACTCTACTGGCAGTAGAGTCATTGGCATCCTGGACGAATTAACATATATGTGTTTCTCCTCATACAATTAGTAGTTTTGTTTTAAATCATTATCTGATACTATTAGTATCTAAATTTTAAATAAATAATGTAATAATGTGTGATATTTACAATTTGCAGTTTCCATGGATTTTAGATTAACGACTCTACCTATGTTATAAGTATTTAATGTATATGTTTGGGGTGGGCCGCCCTAAACCCCTATAGGTTTGAAAAATAGTGTAGGAGATATCCTCAGGCCTACCAAATATACACAGAAAATGTCATGAAAGTCGGTCGAGATGTTTCAGAGGAGTTCGGTATCAAACACTGTGACAAGACTATTTTATATGTAATTAAAAAATAATATTATAGGTATACTATATATATATATATATATATATGTACATTGCAGTACAAACACAGAATAGATTAAATCTATTCCGCGGTACTAACGGTGTCACCTTCTCTACGTCGTGATCGTAGCGTTTATTTCCTTGTTATGTGTCCGCCAGATGGCGCGTGACCTCCGGGTCTCGCACACGGACGGTATTCGTCGATAAACGTCAGATAAGAGATTACGTAACGGACAACGCAAAACGCATTAATCGCACGTACACCCGTACCAAGGTTTACAGATAATATCACCTATTATCTACAAACCTTATTGATAATATTGTCTATTATCTATAAACCTCGCACCCGTACAACGCTGCCGTGAACGGTTAGGTTTTTTCACGGGCGCCACTCGCACCGGGCGGCCGGCCGGACAGTCAATCCCGGTCGGGTCGCCATGCCCGTCGCGCCGTCCCCGTGTCCCGCGCACCAAACGTCCCGCACTCGCTCCGGTCCAGAACGTTTCCCGGGCACCGCGCGTTCGGGTCGGACGTGACCCTCGGCGGGACCATGTGCGCGTGCTCGCAGCTGATGTACGTGCTCTACGCCGCGCTGGCCAACGTTTTCGCGTTCTACGTGTACACCGAGTATTCCCTAAACGTGTTCATGGACGAGTACTTGCCGGCGGAACAGCAGCAGCGCGTCGAAAACCACCGGTATTTCGATCACATCGTCGGTAAATATCTCTCGCCCCGCGCGTTCCCTGGACCGTTGTTTCGAGAATCCCGCCGAACCGTCGGCAAAAGAACGTTGTGCGACGGTTTCCGAGTACCCCGAACGTCTGTGTTGTGTGTTCAGGCGCGCTTCTCGACACGCATGTAGACCAGCGGTTCTCAAACTGTGGTACGCGTACCACTAATGGTACGTGAGACACTACCAGGCGGAGGGTCATGGGGGTCATGACTCCCCCTCCCCAGAAAAACATCAAGATTAGATCCTTCGTGTTTATTTAAAAATTAAAATATGCTTAAGATGCGTTTTTCATTTTTTTTTTTTTCGATTAGATTTTTTCTTGCAATAAAAATGTTATACAACATCGTATTTTATTCATGTACATTTAAACTAGATCACCACTTGTTCATAAAATCATAATTTCCATCCAACTTCTAAGAATATTAACAGTGAGTATCAGTGGCGTACATTCGATGTTGCTCTAGGGGGGGGGGTTAACATAATCATTACCTTTTTTTTTTCGTTGTACAGATAAATAAGATAAATAACTGCTATAAACAGTTATTATTTTATACAACTTTTTTACCAATTTACAGTTTACTTTTACATTAAAGTAAATTAATAGCTATTGGAATATAAAAACAGCATAGTTAACAAAACTTTTCAAACACCTATCAATAAAATTATTTAATTATCATAATATTTGTATAGTTGTATATTTTATGTTCAAAGCGTAATAATGAAACTACGAATATATTACACGTCATCAAAAATAAAACAATTTTTTTTTTTTTGGCCCTGGGGGGAGGTTTGAACTTGGAAACCTTCCCCGTATGTACGCCACTGGTGAGTATAAACTGACTGATAGACTATAATATTGTTGGCGAATAAATATAAACATAATAGTAAATATGCGGAAATTTTTGAGTGCTTGACCTTCGACGGAAAGATAACTTATCTAAGATGACTTATCTTAGATAAGATTACTGTCAATCCGTTGGCTGGTACCGAATTGGTTCCCGAGCTCCAACCCTACGTGCCAAATTGGTTCTCGTCTGAAAAAGGTATTTTATTAGCTATAGCCGAATTGGTTTCCGTTTAACTACGCACATTTCCCTTCTCAATTTTACAGGCTTAGGACTGTCAACTTTAAAGTAGGCTTGGTTAATATGCGTTAAAGCATGTTAAAAAAAAAAAAAATGATAAAAATATACAAATTTAAATCGTTGATTTGGAAGTCAACTAGTCATCACTCAGGTGTACGAAATAAAAACAATAAAATATAATAAATACATTTTAAAACCAGTGATTTGCAAATTTGAAGCTAATTTTCTTTAAATATTAAATTCTCGTAATCTTCTCATTAATGTACTCAGTCATACAATTTTCCAAATATTTGTTATTTCTTTCCTGTTTGCTAGTAATTTGTTATTATCTAGTAATCTATATTATATCTATTATATTTCCATACTCTGTTTTATCGATATAATAATTGTGTCTATATGTCATACATATAGTTTTTAAAATTTTGTTTTTTGCTCTCGATGCTCTGGCTCGCCTAACCTCTATAAAAAGGGAACCAATTCGGCTGTATCTAATAGAATACCGTTTTCAAACGGGAACCAATTCGGTTACTCCCAATTCGTTACCCGTATGTTTATATAATATTGTACTATATACTTGCTATAGTAAAGCTGATCGCTAATTTAGGTTCTAATAACTTGTTAAAAAATACTATACATGCGATCATTCTCTACTCTCGGGCGTTTTAAAGTTTAAGCTTTCATGTAGCTTTCATGGCTTCGTTTAAACATGGGAAAGGAACGCTTTGTTCAATATTTACAAGAATATACGCATAAATGTTGATAATATTATTTCTAAATTTGGAAAAATAAAATAAAGAAGATTAAACTTTGTTGTTCAATTTTAAAAATTGAAAATTTCATATATTCATAAAGTTCTAATTTGAATTAAAAATTTACTTTTATTTTTTTGTAATTATGTATTATCTTTTTGTACTTTCGAAAAAATGACCCTCCCCAATTTGAGTTCTAGATCCGTGCCTGAAGACTACATGGTGGTACGCGAAAGGCCAGGTAGTAGTAGAACGGAAATTAAAAATTCAATATTTAATTCATATATTAATTTAAAAACACTAATAAATTTGTTTATTAATAAATAAATAATAATTTTATTTTAGTATTTTACTGCCTTTTTGTTTAAAATAAATGTATTTTACTATGTGAAGTTTGTATGGTTCTATTTTTAATCATTAATGGTACGTGACTGATTGATAATATACTCAAGTGGTACGCGAGAAAAAAAAGTTTGAGAACCGCTGATGTAGACTATTTTATACTTGAAACGTCCCGCTTGTGAGCCGTGTTACAGTTCTCGCACGCGTTAAAAAATATTATGGTTTTAACCGTCGTTTACGGTCGTCGCACAACTGCAGTCCAATCTAAAAACCGTTGAGAATTGATTCACACATCGGCGGGGGCTCATGACAAGTACAGTGGTGGTTGTACCCGGGGAGGGAGCGTTGGTGGACCGCCCCTTCTTTGAGTCGTGTAAAAACTAAAAATATGAACGATCAGTTTACCAAACGTTTTGTCGATAATTTTTTGTCAAAACTGTTTACTGTTTACAAAAATGTTTGCTCTTATAGAAGTTTGACTGTTAATGAAGTTTGAATAAAAAATTAATTTTTATTTTATTTTTTTATTGATTCCTATATTTTTGTGTTATGCCATTTTGGTATAAAGTTTATAGAACTTAAAATTACTTCTCATGTATCAAGCAATAGGGAAAAATAAATGGGATATGTATGCAAATTGTAAGTATATGCAAAATGTTTTCGACCCCTCCCATGTGATTTCTCAAGAACCGCCACTGGACAAGTGCTGCCTGGGGGCAAATTAAAATATGTCGCCCTTGAGAAAAATAATATTTTAACCGTCAAAAAAATAAAATAAAATCGTCAAATTAAAAAGAAGTTTACACATCTGTGCAATGTGCCGACTGTCGAGATAAAATATAACGAGTACTTGTACCGGACTATTTTCGAGGAAAAAACGTACAAGAATAACGAAAATCGTTTATACGATTACCGTACAAGTTCTGGATTCTTATCGCCTTACAGGGGTGGCTCCAGGGGAGACCTAGGGCCCCCAAGCCCGTACCGCATTTATAAAAAAATATATATTGTTAACAAAAAATGCATATGATATGTACTATCATACGACACGCACTAGTACGAGTATATAGAGCCATGAGGTATGACGGTTGAAAGTAGTTTCTTCACACTTCGGAGACTAAAAACCTGGCTTCGTTCAATGATGACTGAAGATAGACTATCAGCATTATGTCTAATTAATTTATATCATAAAGTAGATATTCTGGATCAAATAGTTCATATTATTGATATTTTTGCCAATTTTAAAAATAGACGACTTGAATTTGTGTTGTAAAAATTGTTGTTTTCTTTTTGTTATGAGATTTTGTAAAATTATAACTTCCCCTCCCCCCCTTTACCAAGGTTCTGGAGCTGCCTCTGTCGTCCTGTGACATGCAGTGGTAGACTGCGGATTTTCGTGATTTTTATGAACGAATTAATATGTATTATAGTTGTACAGTCATACAAGAAAAATTGTAATTATATATTTTCTATTTTATGTTAATCCTCAAAAATATGCCCCCCCCCCATGCATGACTCTAGCCATAGCATATCTCTGGAGCCACGACTGTTCAGTATTCTTGCTACGAATGTTCACTTCGAGTGGAGTTCTATAGTTCGATGCCACTGCCCTCCCCCCATGCTGAACGAGAACGTTCATACTCGCGCGTGATCGTGCGCACTTGGGAATGCGTGCTGCTTCTTTCTCGAAAAGATTTGGCTTAGGCGGCTTTAGAAATTCGTACATTCTTAAATAAGTGTTTGGAATGAAATGGCGAATTGACCATTAACGATGACATTTCAAGTTCATCGTAGTATACGTAACATACCTATGTGTTATTAGTATTAAATTATACCGTGATAATGCAAAATTAAAGATATATATATGTACAACTATGTTGGTTAATTTACAAAGTCCAATGTCATCTTTACACTAAGAGCACGTGGGACCACGAGTCCAAGGCCTCCCACCAACGAAGACTTTGAAAAATATAATTTACGTCTTTACGTTTTAACACATCTATACTAAATATTTGATCGCCAGGCTTAAATAATAAATTATAATTTAAAAATAATATTGAATAATGTTCAATTCAAAATTTAAATGCTATTTGTATTTATATATTTATATCGATTACTTCTTTAGCGATACATTTGATCAATAAGTTATTGACGTACAGTGACAGGCTGCTACAAGATAATTTATTATTATATTTCCTTGGTAAAATATTGTCGTTGATACATTTTTTGAACAAAGAGATAGATCTAAAAGTATCGTTTCGAATTCCAAATATTTGTTACAATTTGAATTTTTTTAAGTAATGTGAAATAATAATTGTACTTTTGTTTTTAAATGTCCCTACATTGCTAAAAAACGGCTATAACAGTCTTATTCCGGTTTTTTTTCAGTTTATCTAGTATTTTCTACGGAATCAAATTTGTCATAAACTTATACGATTGTGACATGACATATTTAAAAAAGAGGAGGGAAGCTTAACCCCACAATAGCCTTTGAATTTGACGTCGTCATCGAAACAAGTTAACAATCTATTGTTTTGGGAGATATGTATATCATGAGTTGTAAATTACGGTTGACGGCTGTGTCCAAGTCAGCTTTTAAGTACTAATACATTGTAGTATTATAATCGAAATCATAATCGTTCAGTACAAAAGATGACAAAAGAGATTGTGGTGGTTGTATACCTTCAGCCCTGTACTATCTAAAAACTCATACTTACAGCAGTATTATAATAAACAGCATCTAGTTATAGATTTATAATTTATATAAGACATAGCTTATGGCTAAGTGGTTTTAGAATATATTCGTC